ATTTCCAACTAAGGAGACAGTCGGTACCCCTAAATAGTTGCATACAATGTCTCCTTTCTGGTTGGCTCCGCCCTCTGTCTCACACTGCCTCTCCCTAGATGACCTGAAGCCTTGACTTCTTTCTTCCCATTATAAAGCTTTCCCAGAACTCTGCCTGCCTTTGAGTCCTATACCAAGTGCAAATGATACAGCAAGATCTGAGTTTGAGAGCTTTTTCCAAGTTCTCCTGTAGGGGAGTCATTGCCCACTTACATTCCTCTTGGCTGTGACCCTTTCTCAGACTTCCCTTACTGAAATCTTGGGAAAAGAGGCATAACAATAAGTACTGAGATCACTTCAACAGGAAATTGCACTGTAAGTTTGAAGTTTTGCTTTTTTTCTCTCCATAATAGTTTGCTTTTTACAATGTTAAGTGGAATATTCTAATATCTCATTAACTATAATATTTACTAGTGTTATTGTAGATACCCTTTATCAGGTAAAGAGTCCTTCGATTTCTATTCTTCCAAGAGTTATGAATAAGACTTGAACTTTAGGAAACTTTTTAAAATGGCATCTCTTGCCATTATCAGATTACTTTTTAAAAGCAATGTATTAAATAATCAATTATTTTTTCTTTCTGAAATGGATCTAGCATTGTTTCCTGGGAATACCTACTTTAATCGTTGTGTGTCTTATCACCATCATCAACTCCAGCGTTTTCTGACATCATCAATTTTGTTTTCTAACATTTTTCTTGGGATTTTTCATTTCTTTTGATAAGTATAAATGCCCTATTTTATTTTCTTGTTCGGTTAGAAAATCAGCCAGAATTTCCATCTGCTATAAAAATCAGTGGGCTATCTTTTTATTGTTAGGGAATGAAGTTAAAGTTCAGACATAGTAACCTCAGAGTTGCATTGTTAAATTAGTAGCAGAAGTAGATGGCTCATTTATGGAGTTTTTTGGTTTGTTTTATCAGAAGGCCAATGGAAGGACTCAAAATGGCCTTTGACATGTAGCAAGGCAGGTGTGTGGCTTTGGTGAAGTAAACTCATTCATATTCTAGACTTTTTTGCAAATTTCACACCTCAGCCTTAAAGAAATGCAAAATTGCTAAAAGAATGAATACAACTTTGGGTCCTGAGTACTGTTTGAAAACAAGGCTGCTTATAAGAGCAGTTGTATTACATTTCTTTTTCCTTTCTAAACTGTGTTCTCAAACCTCAAAGATGAAATGAAGTGTTATGTGAATTAAAAGGCTGGAGAAACATTACTACAGGTATAAAAATGTAGACATTTTTATGTAGTAAGAGCTATGGCTTGGAGTTAGAAGTCACACAAACTTAACTTTGTAAAAATACGAAAGTGTAGAAAAACTTGGAATCCTTTGTAATATTATTATATATCACTTTATATGTTATATATATGTTATATCACTGTATTTATTATGTTATTTTGTCACTTTATATATGTGTTATTATATATCACTTTGTAACATGTTATGTATCACTGCATATTAACAGTGATTCCTTGGCCACAGAACCAATTTTAATCGTACTGATCCCCGGTCAAAGTAAAATTTCACATTTTCCAAAGGAAGCCTGTTTGTTCTGCTTCCTACTAGACTGTTTTAAATAAGAGAATGTGTAGGAGAGTAAATATGTAACTTTACTCTCATAGAATACTTACTCTGTTTAGATTTTGAATGTATTAGAATTCTAAACACACAGTTACTTCCATTAAGGAGCTCATCAGTGAATAGGGAATATAGATATGAATAGTTAGTGAAAATGCAGTGCAGGAAGGTTTCATGATGGAAGAAAACTTTGAGCTAGTCCTCACAAAATGAGGAGTACCTGATAGCAGAAGGTGGAAAGGGAAAAAGGACTTCAGGCAGAACCAATGGGAGCAATGCACTGGATTCCAGACTTGGAGGGCAGCAGCTTGCTTGCAGTGCCTGGGCAATGCTGAGAGACGCGCAGGAACAGGAGAAGGATCTAGAAAGTGTGGTTAAGTTGAGTTTCCAAGGTTTGACCATGCAGGCAAGCAGGAGTACTAGAATGCCTTTATAAATACTTATGTTACAAAGACTAATTAATTCTGCTTGAAAGCAAACTGATATGGACTCTGGTAATTATGTTTGTGGAAGCAAGGACCAAATATAAACACCTTCACAGTGTAACTTTGATGTGCAAAAAAGGTAATTTCTAAATATCTTTGTAAGCAGAATGGCTGGAAGAATTATCCAAACTAGAAAGCTTTTGAGAAATAAAAGGTGGATGCTTTTAGTAATTATGCTGGGATGACAGTTCCCAATTGGGCATGTCCTAGGCACATTCAAAGGAAGAGTTACTCTATTCATAATCACATTTTGTTAGTTGAAACGAAGCAAGCAAAATAATGTGAATTTAGAACTTAATAATTTACTGAAGCTTTTTGGTTTAAAATAGTTATTTTCAGATGACTATTTAATCTAAAAGTCAGAGAAATGGAGCTACCACTTTTAGAAATTATACTCTCAGGCACTATTGTAAGCTCTGCAGAAATATAAGGACACCTGATCCTCAAGTTAAAAAAAAAAAAAAAACCTATGAGCTAGGTATTAACATAGTTTTCATATTATAGGAAATCAAGACAAAACAAGTTTAAGTAATAAGCCCAAGGTTTGCTGATGCCCTACCACGTTATCTGGTATGTACCAATTTCTATGCACTAATCTATACTATACTGCACTCAGGCTCTAAGTCATATCTCCATTGCCTCCTAAATTTCAATTTCAGATGAAAATGGGTTCTTGTTTAATATAAACATGCCCCATGCAGTGCTTGTGATAACCCTCCTTTTCCTTCCTTCCTGGTTGCTGAGGGAATCTCCATATCCCCTTTGCATGGCTGGGTATGGGCCTGGGCCCCCCCATTCTCTATGTCTGGACCAGTTGTCTTGACTGTCTGCTGAATGGAGTTACTATCTTGGACTAATCTCTCAGCAGAGCCCATCATTTCTCAACATAGTCAGCTCTTCAGACTTGTCCCAGTGATGCTGCCATTGCTCAGTCTCAGCCTCACTCCTTTCAGCCTGGAGGCAGGAAATAAGTCAATATTTATGAGTATTAGAAAGTTTATAGATTTTTTTTTAAAGATTTATTTGTGCACACAGAACTGGGGTACAGGCCAGAGGCTCAGGGGCAACGAGAGGCTTTACCAGAGACAGAGCGGGGAACAGAACAGGCAGATGGATGAAGTACACTGCTGAGGGGAGCAGCGGGCTGGTCAGGAGAGGTCTGCCACACCATGTGGTCACCTTCCGGGGCAGGCGGGAATCGAACTCATGCGGAAGTGGCTTTAGATTCTCAGTGCTGTGCTTTAACCTGCTGCGCCACCAGGGAGGGCCTATAGGTTTTTTTTTTTTTAAGAGCACAGTAAGTCCTCATTTAATGTCAGTAGATGCCAGATGGCAGCAGATCCATGAATAACCTTATTTTGGTCAACAACTGTGGATATTTTTTCTCATTACAGTTATAATGAAAGCATGTTGACAGAAATGTTTTTCAAGAACCTGCTATATTTAAGAATAGATCTATTAACTCTGGATTGAACTGGGAAAAATAATCTAAGTGGGCAGTACTGTTGATAGGTGCTTCTGAGCCAAATTCCACTATGGCACTGTATCTCATTATAGCTTCCAATTACCCCAATGACCATTTAGATCACATCATCCTAGAAATGTTTCCTCAAAGTGATCATCACAAGCAGTACTTAGTTTGTTTACTTTCTCGTTTTTAGCTAGCATGCAAGCACCTTGTATGTCTTGTTTGTTGCTACACTTCCAGTATCATCCTACAGTAGTAGCACATTGCAGCCACTAATAAATATTTGTTGCATGAAGAAATCAACAGGCACACCCTTTATAGATATGAAGGGTGTTGAACAAAGAAGATAGAGATAGTGACAGTTTTCAGTACCACTCCAAACAGGACTTTCTGGAGAAAGAACATAGGCAACCAACCACCTATAGCTTCTCAGTGCTTAAGAAAGCGTCCCTAACAATTACAGTTGCAAAGCAGAGGTGAAGTTAAGGTATAGTTAAATAATGCTGACTTCTCAATATGGCATTGTTAGAATGCTTACAACCATAAAATTCAAGAAATAAATTGATGCTATATCGATGAGTGGATTCCCAAAGAAATCCGGGAACCACAAAAATAACACATTTTCATGTTTAAGACTGAAGTTTAAAAAGTGCTTCCATAGATGGAAAGTATTATTATCATCATACAGAAGGAATTAGGAGATTTAGGGAGACCTAATGACTTCACAAGGTCATGCAAATACACCACTGGCATTAGGATAGTGGCAGACCTAAATTAGGATTTCTAATTCAAAATTCCTTATTTTCCTTCACGGCACTCCTTGTATCAACTTAATTAATGTATACTTTTGTATCAATGAAATATATGCACTTAAAGTCAGCAAAGGTGCTGGCTGCGGTATTTCTTCCACCCCATACTCTCACCCTCTCTCCTGGTGCAACCGTTGTGATTTGGAATCTTTTAAAAATCACTGGAAAAGCCCGTTTCTGGAAGGAGATCCTGCCCTGGAATGAGGGCAGTTTTAGATGACCTTGGTTGGCTCATTTCCATTCCCGTGGGTGGCCTTGTCCCTAGTTAAATGAGCTACATCTGGTGACAGGGTGCCATTTTCGTGTCTGAAGCTTGCAGAGGAATTAGGAGGCCAGACTGATCGGAGAATGCTTTTGGAGTGGAGCAGCACCAATTCTGGGGGGCCTACAGGTTCTTTGGCCCGAAAGACGCTGGAAGTGAGATCCCGCTGTCTGGGGCGGAGCCGGTCGAAGTTCCGCCAAGCTCGAAGCGCGGGGCGGGGCCTGGAGGGCGGGGCTATGATCGAGCGGGCGGGACGTTGCATAGGAAGGGGCGGGGCGATGCGCGGGGCGGGGCGGCGCGCGCCGACGTGGCAGCGGCAGGAGCATGCGCGTCCGGTGGCCATCTTGGAGGCGGGGACGCGTGCAGGCCAACTCACCTGCATCTCTCCTCTCCGGAGCTGTAGCCTTAGACCTCAGCCTCCGGTCCCCTACTTTTCAGCTGCCGCGCAGACAATCGCGGTCCCCATTCAGGTGAGTGTCAGCCTGACAGCAGCGCGGTTGAGCGTGTGGTGACAGTGTCAGTCGTTATCCAGGGATCGGTCCTGCAAAGTGGGCGGGCCGGTGGGGGCACTGGAAACGCGGGTCTAGTCGGAGCCGGGCTAGTTGGAGCTGGGCACAGCCGGAGGGTGGGGGCCTGCTGGGTGAAGCTCACGCGCGGGTGCACTTCGCCCAGCGAGCAGTTGCCGCCCGCGAGTTGCATGGTGGGTGCGGTTGGAGAGTCTGGTCCCGGCAGTCTGCGCCTGTCCAGAGGTTGAGGCCGGTACCCCAGCCACTTCGCCCCACCTTCCTGCGCGTCGACCGAGAGAGAGCTCGGCGGCTGGTGCCCGCTGACCTTAGCCCGCCCCGGCGGGACCTGGAGACGTGGCAGAACCTGGGGGGAGGCCACTAAGTCCAGGAACAGGATTCCGGTCGCTCCCGTCTTTGGGGACACTTAGGTTGACAAACCAGGAAGGGCAATAGGAAGGAATTTACTTTCCAGAGGTTGCCCCATCAGTGTTTTTTGAGCATGATTCCTGGACCTGCTTGCGGGATAGACGGTACCCTAGACTGGCAGAATTTATATCCAAGGAAATTTTTTGACTTCTGTTGTAATTATTTTGAAATGCATAACGTACATTGGTGGGAACCCGATACTGACAGTCCATTGTTTATTCTCTACAATTTAACTCAGTGAACATTAATGAAAGTTTCTTTGGGGATCATCGTTGGGAATGCAGAGAGAAAACTCAGACTCTGCTCTAGCACCCATTACGTAGTACCAGAAGCACTCTTTTGCACTAGTCGTATATTAGCAATAACCATTGCTTTTACAGTGTTTACACTGATCAAAGTTTCACTATTTTCTTACTGTTTAAGTAGTCATCCACTTACTATTTGAAAAGACAAGACACAAACAGATTGGCAGAAGGAGGGGCTGGCAAGAAACTGAGCACTCAGTTGTTCATCATTTTTTATTTAGTGTATTACAACATTACTTTTTGTGTGGAAGCTGAATACCAAAATCTTTGCAAAGTCTTAACTCTTCATCATCACTGTATCAGAGTCTCTTTTCCTAAGTGCAAGATATTATGTTTCTGCATACAAAATATACCCAATAGTCCACGCTGGGCATTGCAATTCTGTATCTAAGGGTTCAGTCAACCAGCCATATATGTGCAAGTAATTGGCCAACTGCAGTTGTTGGTAATTAACATGTTGAGACTTTCCTTGTCATTATTCCCTAAACAATTCAGTGTCGCTATTACTTATATTGTATTAAGTATTATATTATCTAGAGATGATTTTTCATTTGTGGGAGGATGTGCCTAATACTGTACATGCGAATACCATTTTATATAAGGGACTTGGCATCATGAATTTTGAAATCCACTGGGGCCCTAGAATTAGTCCCCTGAGGATATGGAGGCACAACTTTGTTGTCATTAAGCTAGTTCTTAAACAGCAAAGCTTTATTTATTTACTTTTGAAGATTTATTTATTTATTTATGCAGAACTGGGATCTGGACCAGTGATGGCAGGGTGGTGAGAGAATTCAGAGACAGTGTGGGGAACACAACAGGAAGATAGACAGAGTACACTGCTGAGGGGAGCAGTGGACAAGGCAGGAGAGGTCTGCTGGCCATGTGGGTCACCTCCCTGGCTGGGGATCGAACTTGTGCTGAAGCGACTGTGGCTAGCCCTAGCTTCACAGTGCTGTGCTGTAACCTGTTGCACCACCAGGGCGGGTCCAATAGCGAAACTTTTAAAGACTGAAAGAAAATGACCAATCATTCCGTGTTTTGGAGTGTTCATTGCATACATATGTTTGCTAATTAAGGTTCAGATTGGCTTTAAATTTGACTTCTACTGTAGCCAATGTAGGGGTTTGGTGGCATCTTTTGAGGGGCGATAAAAGCCCATTAGAAAAATGGGGAAATGAAAGAAAGTGGTAAAGTGGTAGCTCTGGTGATAAATCCCTAGCAGGCACTTTCTACCCCAGGTTATGTACTTTGTTGGGTAGGTACTGAGGGAAAGGATTTTACCTGTCTCAGTCCTGTCCTTTACTTGATACCATAAACCTTTTCTATTTACATCAGACTTTTTGAAGTGTTGTGCATATTTGCCTCACCTTTCACTCCTCAGTACAGTTGAAAATGGTTTCTGCACCCACTCCTTCCTTCCATGGAAGCAGGTCTCACTCACAGTATTCATCTCTAGTTTGGCATAGCCACTGAATTTTTCTTTTGTCCGTTTCTGCAGCTTTTGATATGGTTCCCTAATTCTACTTTGAAAACTACTGGTTTTCCTCTTTTCTGATCATCTCATTCTTTTATGTTTGTTTTCTGACTGGCGATTTTCAAGTACTGACTGGATCATTTCCCTTGGTGTTCTCTTCTTAGGTAATCCCATCTCCGGGTCTGATGTACCAGCAGACTGATACCCACACTTAACTGGTTTCTAAGCTGCAAACCAAATTAGTGTTTCTACTTGGATATTTCAAGGTGTTTAAATGCAGCATGTTCGATTTTGAAACTGCATAATTCCCACCCTACTTCTGCACCAAAATATTAAACAAGCATCTTCACCTCTTCCAGTATTCCCGTCTTAGTGCATGATGTGCAAATCATGCCTCGTCCTCCTCCATTGCTCGCATATGCAGTCTTCCACAGAGCTTCAACACTGAAACCTTTATTGAGTCGATCCACTCTTCTCCATCTTCACTATTATCTCTTTATTCTCCACAGCTTCTCAATCTTGGCTATCCTGGTATTTGGGTACTGGGTAATTATTTCTTCAGGGAACTTTCCTGTTTATTGAAGGATTTTCAACAGTATCTTCCTTTACTGTTTTGATGCCAGTAGTATTCCTCTAGTTTTGACAACCAAAAATGTCCCCAGACTTTGCCAAATGGAATCACCCTCTTTACCACATTTGATAGACCCGTTCTATAATTATCACTTTCAATTTGAACTCTTATATCCTTTTTAATGGTTTCTCTTTATCTAATCTGACTGCCCTAGAGTCCAGTCTGCATACTGTCATCAGGAATTTTTTCAAATGTTAATTTTCATAAATTGGAATAGCCTGCATGTCCTTCAGCACCCGGATAATCAAATTGTAGTATATCTATAAATTGAAATATGATTTAGCAATAAAAAGATAAATTACAGAAATGCATGCTTTCTGTTGGGTCCTTCTTAGACTATTTTCTGTAGAGTATAATTATACCAACTTAGATTGTATAACCTATTATAATCCTGGGCTGTATGGCACCACCTATTGGCGCTACTGTGGAATGTATACTTCATTGTTGGCTGATGTTGTCAGGCTACACGTACAGTATTGATATAACCAACAGTTTGACTGGATCTCAAGGACATTTTGCTAAATGAAAAAGCCAATCATATGCTATATGATTCTATTTGTGTAACAGTTATGACATGAGAAGGTGATAAAGAACAGTTGGTTTCCAGGAAGAGATACTATGAGAAAGCTACTTTGGGGTGAGATAATAATTCTGTATCCTGATTAGGGGGTGGCTGCATAAGTCTGTGCATTTGATGAAACTACACACTTGAGTGTATAAATCACGTAAAATCCAAAAAGGTTGCAATGTAGTTGCTGGTGTTGTACCAGTGTTAATTATTACTGGGAGAACCTGGGTGCAGGGTAATCATGCAGAACTCTTCTGTTTTTTTTTTTGTTTGTTTGTTTTTTTACAACAGTTTATTTTTACATCATTTTGTACATTTTTTTCCCCATCTCAATTGTAATCCCCGCGGGTTTCCCATCACCAAGTCACCCGTGTGTCATCACCATAATCCCGTGCACTTTCCTCCCCACACTCCCGTTTTTGATCCCATTCCCCACTCCACCCCCACAAAAAGTCTCTGGTATATGGTTGTTCATTATTCTTGTTATTTTCTCGCCTGGTCCATTATACTCCTGCTATGAGTGAAACCATCTGGTATTTTTCTTTCTCTTTCTGGCTTATCTCACTAAGCATGATCTTTTCCAGTTCCATCCAAGTTGCTGCAAAAGACATGTGTTTCTCTTTTTGGGTTGCTGAGTAATATTCCATTGTATATATGTAACCACATCTTTTTTATCCAGTCATCTAATCTACTTTTGGGCATTTGGGCTGTTTCCATGTTTTTCCAATTGTAAATAAAGCAGCAATAAACATGGGGGTACAGGTATCTTTTTGAATCTGTTTTTGTGTCTTTTGGGTAGATACCTAGAAGTGGGATTGCTGGGTCGTAGGGAAGCTCCATGTTTAGCAGTTTGAGGAACCTCCAAACAGTTTTCCATAGTGGTTGTACTAGTTTGCATTCCCACCAGCAGTGCAGGAGAATTCCTTTTTCTCCACATCCTCACCAACATTTGTTGTTGCTAGTTGTTTGAAGATGTGCCATTCTCACTGGGGTGAGGTGGTATCTCATTGTGGTTTTAATTTGCATCTCCCTTTTTACGAGTGATATTGAACATTTTTTCATATGCTTGTTGGCCATCTGCATTTCCTCTTTGGAGAAGTGTCTTTTTAGCTCTTCTGCCCATTTTTTGATGGGGTTGTTTATTTTTGTTGAGTTTCATCAGTTCTCTGTATATTTTTGTGATCAGTCCTTTATCACTACTTTTATGTGAGAAAATGTTTTCCCAATTAGTGGGCTGTCTGTTTGTTTTTAGTAATGTCTCTTTTGCTGTACAGAAGCTTTTTAACTTGATACTCTTCTGTTTTTTTATCTCCTTGTGAGTCTGAAATTTCTTCCCAGAGTTCATTCAAAAGAACAAACCAGGTACCTCACCTCCTGGTTGAATGCCCTACAATGACTTCATATTCCTAAAAAAAAAATAGTTCTTAACCTGACTGGTAGGTTAAGCATAGCCTTTCTCTGACCTCTATCCCCAGTCTTCAAGCCTCTCCTTGCCCACCTGGGTTTTCTTGAGTTCCTCTCATTCCCTCTACTGTAGAGGGCTGTTATCCTGAATTTTGACTTCCTTATTTCCTTTTCCTGCTTAATTCAGTTCCGCTCATCCTTCAGTACTTAGCATATAGATGACTTTCTTGGGGTTCTTCTTGAGCACCAAGTCAAAGTTGCATTCCTGTGAAGAACTGCATTCTTGCCACTCATTAGGCTACAATTTCTTATCCCCATTGGGTGTTTTTTCTTGGCTGTCTCCTGTGCGACATTGTAAGTAGTGTTTTAGTTTACATTGTATTTCCAGAGCACCAGGACGGTGTTTGGCAAACAGTTGACCTTCAATACATACTTGTGGAAACACCAAAAACAAAGTTGGCCTACTTAGAAGTTTTAAGTTTATACTTGAAACAGGCTTGAAATTTTAAACATCTTTCAGGAAGTTTTCCCATATTTCTCAACAACGACCCTGATGTTAAGTAGCATTTTTGTTTAACTTTCCTAAAGACAGACATATTCACTTGGTCATTACTAGAAATGTTTTAACATATAAATTAAAAAAACTGGAACTTGAGCACACTTAAATTTTTCTTTTACAATTAACAGGAGTAGCTTACATATAGTACTTTATGGGGGAGGAGAAAGTATTTCAAAAATAGTTTCAATAATTTATTTTTATTTTTTATTTATTGACTGAATGTAGATATAAACTTGATATGCCTTCATGTCATAGGAAGTGTTACCTTTGAAATATATTGGATGATTTCATTATATAGTTAACATCAATTGTCTCCCAGTTATAAAGTGTGGATATTAAAATACCACAGATTATGTTACAGTAAACACCGTCATAGACAGTTTTCTTAGCCGCTGTGATAGAGCCCTGTTGTCCAGCAAGCCCAGGCCAGGCTCACTATGGCTTCACACAGACTGAACAAGGGGAGTCCTGGAGGCCTCAGTGGAGTTTTCAGTCTTGAATGCTGTCTTAGGGAGCGAGAACACTGGCACAGCAGGCAGCGAGGCTGGCATGTGAGGAGGCAGGCGCAGGTGGGGCAGAGGGCCACTGGGAAGCAGGCAAGTGAGTAAAATCTTTATGCTCATTTTCTGGGGTCTCTCTGGTGTTCTCTCATGGTCTCCCTGTCTGTAGTGCACAACTTGCCCTCCCATAACCTTCCTTTCACACCCTCCCTCATGCTCAGGCGTCCATGATCAGGCACTTGCGCCCTGAGCCCAGCTCCCAAGTGCCTTCAGCATTAGTACGGTCAAGGCTGCGGAGGATGATGGCATCAAAAGAGTGATTTCCGTTACCTCTAAACCTTTATCTGGAAATAAGTGGTATTATTCATAGTGAAGACAGACACTTGTCTAAAGACTACTTTTTAAACTATTCTCTATAAATATCCTTTTATTGCCTAGTGTTTACACACGTTCTATAACTGTTACTGTAACTGAAGAGAAATGATGGAAGAGAGTGGAATAGAGACGACACCACCCGGGACGCCTCCCCTGAACCCTGCGAGCCTGCCTGCAGCTGCGGTGTCTGCCACCCCAGCTCCTCTAGGTAAGAGGGCGTCTACCCCGCATGAATGAGAGTGAAGACACTGTTATTATCTTCTTTTTAATTGTCAGTAAAAAAAAAGAATGTATTTATTTAAACTTATTTCATCTTTGCCAGCATAAAGGGAAATAGACTTTTTAGTTTAAGCCCAAAGACAGAAATGTTTTTCTTTACATTTTTGTTTTGTATATTCTTTTAGACTCAGTCATCTTTCTTAGAACAAAAATATCCTTGAAAATGTGTCAGTTTTATTTATGGCTTTATTACTTTGTGGTGATTACTTTTCTGACAAGTGTTTCTGAAGTCTTCAGTGAGCCTTTAGTTTGTGGCTTTCTTTAATTAAGAAAACACATGGGTGACTTGGTGATGGGAAGCCCATGGGGATTGCAATTGAGATTGAAAAAAAATGTACAAAAATGATGTAAAAATAAACTATTATATTATAAAAAACATTTAAAAAATGAAAAGAAAAAAGAAAACAAGCACGTAAGCAAATACTACAACAAAGATGTACTTGTAAGCAGTAACGTTAACGCAATTTTATGTAACTGCTGTTTTTACTTACGGGAGTTGAAAGTCATTTGCACGCATTTATTGAATACTTTAAATCACACTTCTGAAAGTGGTTAATTTTTTTTTAAGTTGGGGTTTATGATCAGTTAAGTTCTAAAATTTTACAAGAAGGACCATGTAATTCGAAAACAAGCAATTTCCATTGTGTTTTTTCCCTCCCCTTTTGTTTCTAGCTGCAACCAGTTCTTTTTCTTCTCCAAACGTATCCTCCGTGCAGACCTTGCCACCATGTGCATTCTCTACACCTCAGCCAGCTCTTCCCCCTGAGGTGTCTTCAGCATCGTTGCCTTTTGTGGCTCCTTCACCAGTTCCTTCAGTCCACCCTCTTGTTTCATCGGTAGCACCCCCTGTGTCTCAAACTGCTGAGGCCTTCAGTCAGCCTCCTCCAGCCCACTTCCCACCTTCCACTTCTGCCCCAAGTGGCCTTTTACCTGCGCCCCCTGCTGGCCCTCCCACATCAGGATTTTCTGTTGGTTCAACTTACGACATTACAAGGGGTCATGCAGGAAGAGCTCCCCAGACACCCCTCATGCCGTCATTTTCTGCACCTCCAGTAACAGGTAATTCTCTTATTTGGAAAGATTGACTATAGCTGATCCTGTATTTTGTTTTAATAACACCTTTAATGAGATATAACTAATACATACATAATTCACCAATTTAAAGTACACAATTCAGCCGTTGTCACTGTATTTTAAAGAATTGTGCAACCACCACTATCATTGATTTTTAAGCTCTTTTAATGATCACATCAAAAGATATCCCACAACAGTGGTCAACCCCTAGATCGTTCCGATCCTCACAGTGCTAAGCACCCACAGATCTGTCTTTCTAACTATGCCGATTCTAGACACTGCATTTCATATCAATCAAGTATTAAAGTATGTGGCCTTTTGTGTTTGACTTTCACTTAGAATAGTCTGTTCAAAATTCATCCATGTTGTAGGATTTGTCAGTACTCCATTACTTTATATGGCTGAGTAATATTCTATTGTCGTATGGATACACCACATTTTATCTATTTAATTCATCAGTTGATGAGCTTTGAGCTATTTCCACATTTTGACTGTTATGACTACCGCTTTTATGAAAACGTGTACGGAGTTTTGCATAGACCTATTTTCATTCCTTTGGAGATATATCTGGAATGGAATTGCTGACTTTAAAAACAGCCAGACCGATTGCCAAAGCAGTTGCACCATTTTACTTTCTCACCACAGTGTATGAAGTTTGTGATTGTTGCAATTCCCAGGCGTAAATGTTTTATTCCTAACTCATTTTTTTCATTTTCATAATTTACTATTATTATATTTTTGCAATTTAAATTGTTAAAATGAAGGGGATTATATGTGATTAGTGAATGAAGTGTCAGACAAAATTTCACAAGTTTGTTCTGACATTTTCTGCACTTTTAGAGAAACATAAAAGTGAAGTTTAAGAATTTTTCTTTTTTACAGTTTAACTTACAAAATGATCTGGAGTGAATATTCTAGGGAGATAATTTTGTTGATCCAGGTAAAAATTCAAAACCAAATAAAAGTTCATGTGTGTCATAGGTATTGGCCATTTCATCTTCTAGACCACTTACATCTGCTTTTCTTGACTTGTTTTGGTTGGTATTTCCTGAATGGATGTGGAAAACCAATATCAAAACTTCATTTTTATTTCTTTCTGTTGATTCTCATTTTAGGAACAGAAACAACTGTATTGTGATTTTTCTTTTCCACACTTTGCTTATCTACCTATATAAATAAAATTTTTTGAGGATTACACGATAACCATGTCTGTATAAATGTGTATTTTCTTTTTAGGGTTAAAATAGGCTGTGTGGAGTATGTGTGCTAACTGTTACATGCTTGTATATGCTGCATCTGTGTAATCATACCTGTTACTTTTAAACCAGAAAGTGTTTAGAACTACAGTTGTTGGTATCCAAGTGCTGTGTATGGTAAACGTGAAGTTTTTTCTTATTGATGTGATGTTATTTCTTATTTTCAGTTAAGTGATGTTATTTCTTTTATTTTCAGGACCCTTAGCATAATGACCTTTTAAAAGGGCAAGATACTTCTTTTGTTTGTTTTTAATTTTGCTCAATTTGTATTTTCCAGTACAAGTTTTGCTGATTCAGTTTATAAGTCAATCTTGAAATACTTCACTGTAGGTTAATTATATCATAAATATTTTCTATGTAGGTGTAATTAATAAAATATAGGCTAATAAAGTAATTTGTTATTAAAGTTTGGAATTATTGTGCATGTTCTATCTTTTTATTATAGTTTATGGAATAAATCGCATGTATTAAAAATGTTTGCCTTTAACTAGGTGTTGTGCCAACTCCCATTACCCAGCAAGCCAGTTTGACATCTCTGGCACAGGGACCTGGAACCACATCAGCCATCACCTTTCCAGAGGAACAAGAAGATCCTAGAATTGTTAAAGTTCAGGATGAAGCATCTGCTGGTGGACTGTGGGGTTTTATTAAGGTAAGAGAATTCATTTTTAAAACTACTTAATTTTTTAATTATAAAACTTAATGTTTTAATTATAATTGTAAATAAGGAAAAGTAAAATCTTTTTTATTCTCACCATTCTCTACTTTGTATGTACATACTGATGTAGACATACCTTTTTAATTAAGAAAAATCAGATTGGAATAGTGATATGTGGGTACTGTGTCCTGCCTTTATTCAACAGATGACAGAAACACTGTCTCAGCCATAAAATGGTCTTCAAAAAAAATTTTTATGGTTGCTTTGCCCACCAGTTACTGCATTTATTTCCCATATTTTGTTTAGCTAATGTGATTTGGCATTTTCTAATTATAATTCTCACTAACAATAGCATGATGAGCATACTGGCTTCAGAGGAACAATTTGGGAATGAACAAAGCAAGAAACAAGAAGTATGTAAAAAGAAACTTTAGTAAGACATAGTAAAATAATAGGTTCATGTGTAGTTTTAGGGACTAAAGATGAAAAAAATTGTTTTTAAACATACATTATCAGCATTTAGCTTTTCATCAGATGTTATTGATTTGTCATTTGTTCATGTGGGTATAGCTGCATACCTTGGTGTGGGCTTGTGATTGACTCTCCCCAACCCCAGAGCGCCTGTGTCAGTACTCTGTCAGATTAACCCTTTTGCCCCTGACTGTCCCCGCCCACCTCCACCACCGTCTTCCCCTGTGGTAGCCACCACCATATTGTTCACAAAGTGTCAGTTGTATATGATCTGTTGTCCCAGTTTGTTTTCTTGGTTGTTTCTATCCTATAAATGAGAGAATCATCTGATATTTTTCATCTTTCACTTTCTCACTTCTTTCACTTAGCATAATCACCTCAGGTTCTGTTCATGTTATCACAATAGGCAAAATTTCATCTTTAAGCTGAAGTATGTATGGCAAGTTTGTTTAAGTAGTCATCTGTTGATGAACAGGTTATTCTGTGTCGTAGGTATTGTGCTACATAACTTTTTGTATTGTTTCATTCTTCTGAAAACTGACGAAAAAGAATATTGGTTCTGTGGAGATTAAATTAGTTTTCAGAACCCCCAGTGGGCAGATTTTGTCTAGTATTTCATATAAGCAAATTAATAACTGAAACAAATAATGGAACAAGTGTATTTATATGTACACACTTACTAGGTTGGTGCTACTCAAGGCTGCCTTTAGACTTCAGTGTTTGTATATAAACTGAAACTAAACATTTTGAAATTTAAGAATTTGGCATCGTCATAACCTTGTTTTTCTTATATTTTATAAAAGTTCAGGTCTGAGATACATTAGAAATATTAAGAAAATTTCTTGTACCATTAGGTTATCATGATGTTTTTTGCTCAGAATAGATGCTTATATGTTTTGTTTGTTTGTTTGTTTGTTTTGTAGGGTGTAGCTGGGAATCCTATGGTGAAATCTGTGCTTGATAAAACAAAACATTCGGTAGAAAGCATGATTACAACGCTGGACCCTGGCATGGCTCCTTATATCAGTATGTACTTCACACAGAGCAGCATTTCTCATGTTTTTTTAGAGTAATACTGGTGTCAAGCACTAATTCTAATTCCACAGGTCTTTATGAGCAGTGAGCACCTCACATTTTTACATTATTGTTAGTTTTGGTGTTCTTTTTTTTTTTTTTTTTAAAGATTTATTTATTTATGCATAGAGAACTGGGGTACAGGCCAGAGGTGCAGGGGTACTGAGAGAATTCACCAGAGCCAGAATGGGGAGCAGAACAGGCAGATTGAAGAAGTACACTGCTGAGGGGAGCAGCGGGCAGGTCAGGAGATGTTTGATGCGCCATGTGGATCTCCTCCAGAGTCAGGGATCAAACTTAAACTGAAGTGGCTGGGGCTAGCTTGCAGTGCTGAGCTTTAACCCATTGTACCACCAGAGAGGGCCCAGTTTTAGTAGTATTAATTCATCTTTATTTTGGTTACTATTAAATAAAGTTTGAAAACATAGAATAAACTCCGTAAGAGTAAAAATGCTATGAATTGTTACTGTACTTAATGGTTTTAAATGTAACTGTAGTCTTAATTTATGTGAATTTTACTATATTGCCAATTAACATTGCAGGTGATGCTTTGTTCATATTTGGTTTTCCATTTCTCCTGTGATCTGTTTTAATTAAATGTGTTTATGCATGTCTCAGGAATTAACTCCAGTAATATTCTTAGAGGAAGTTAATAATTTATTAATAATATCTAATTGTTAGGTTTATTAGTAAAGTTGCTGTAACCGCCTTTGACCCTCTTAACTAAAAATCCTGATAGTTGGCATAGACATGCTTTTCAAATAGTTAATGTACCTGTCCAATGTGTGGAGAACACATAATTGCCTAGCAGGCCCAAAGTACATGAGCTGCTAATAGACCTTTTCAGTGTTAATAAAAAGTTAGTAGCTTTCATTAGTCACGGCTGTATTTGTAGTCTGCTATCTAGCAATTGTCCTAAGACAAGGCCTAACGTTGGTAAGTACTGTTTATTAAGTGCTGCTCTGCCAGGACCTAATTCTTGTCAGAACTCTGCAAGGTAGGTATTATTGTCCTCAAGTTTCAGATGAAGAACCTGGGTTTAGAGAGATTTATGAGGTCATACAAGTTGGTGCAGCTAGATTGGGCCCATGGACAAATTAGCTATGTTGTTTCTGTCCTGCTGAAGAGGAATATTGAATCAAGAATTAAATCTTCTTGAGATGTTCTTTATAATTGTCACAGCAGTTAAAAATTGGAACCCAAATATACGTTGGTTTTCTAGTCATAATAACCAAGTTTGAGATAATCAACATAATGTAATTGATGAGTCATAGGTAGTCTTTACATTGTGAATGAAGAAATGAAAGAAATTAGTATTTTTGGAGATGTCACTGTTTTAATGCATACTATGTTATTCTGTGGAAACAATTACTTTATTTAATCCTTACAGAAACAAGCTCAGTGATTTCTTCCAGAATCTAGTAAACAATAGGTCAGCACTGAAATCCAAGATTGTTTCTCAAGCAGGAACCTGCATGAAATCAAGAAAAGGGCAAAACAACAACAACACCACACACACACACACACACACACACACAACAACAACAACAACAACAAAAAGCAAGGGAGCGGGATAAGGAAAAGGATAATTTGATTTATATTATTAGCAGATATCATAGCTTACAATATATCATCTTAATCTGTTTACTATAAAAAGCAATAAAACTGAACAGTTAACACTCCCAGGCAGCAAAAGCAAGACCATTCTAACAAAATTCAAGATAAAAATTATGGTACTTTTATGCAAATATTCTAGAAATCACCATAACAATTTCAAATATATCAAGTAAGTACAAAATCAGTTACAAATGGATCTTAATAGTTTAACCTGCTGTATTCTTTTTATTAGTTATCCCTTCATCAGGTATAAAGGAAGTACTAAGGCTGACAATTTCCGCTGACAATTAATGGAGCATTACTTAGGGTCAAGAGCTATCTCCCATGTGGAAAAAATATATATACTTTTTCTCTTTCCTATATGACCCAGTGTTCTTACATTTTATTACTTAATGATCATAATTCAAGTAAATATGAGATCTGTAGGAGATTGTGTCTATCAGGAAAAAAGAGATCCACAATAAAAAGAAAAGCCAAGTATTTGCCAACATTTTCAGTTGTCTCACAATATATTTATTTGGGGAAAATAGGGCATTGTTTCTGGGACAAGCTTTTATAGTACAGTTTTCTTGAGAAATCTGTTGCCATAGATAGCTGTTAATGTTAAGTAACAAAATAGCCTTTTCTTTGAACCAGACCTTTAAATTCACTTTATCATAAAATGTTAGATTAAAATTTAAAAACATAAGTAGGTGTATTTGAGCAAGTGAATCTGCCTACATAATTCAGGTTTCTTAAACAGTTGAGTTATTTGTGTTAGGACAAATAAGTAGGTCCATAGTTTATAAATAACTATCCATTTATTTTTGCTATATGTAATTTTTAAATGACAGTACTGCCTTGTTTTCAAGGAGATCTACTAATACTGTCTGGGATAGTATTTTATAAAATATAGAAAAATACTTGACACAAATGATACTCAGACCTTTAGAAGCTGCTTGGGATTAAGACTTCCTCAGATAATATATCAAATTCTGATGTTTAAAACTCAGGGCAAGTTGGTAGAAAAGAATATTTTAAAATCTGACAACCTAGGTTTGAATCCTTAACATCATTGCTAAATAATGGTGGTACCTAGGACAGGACCTTTTCGGCCTCAGATTCCTCAGTCACATAAAAGATGAATCTGGGTCCTCCCTGTTGGCACAGCTGGTTAAAGCACTGCACTGAGAGGCTAAAGCCACTTCAGCATGAGTTCTATTCCCGCCTGCCCCAGAGGAGATCCACATGGCGAGGCAGACCTCTCCTGACCCGCCCGCTGCTCCCCTCAGCAGTGTATTTTGTCGATCTGCCTGTTCTGCTCTCCATTCTGTCTCTGGTGAATCCTCTCACCCCCCGCATCTCTGGCCTGTACCCCAGTTCTATATGAATAAATAAATAAATCTTAAAAAAAAAAAAAGATGAATCTGTATCATTTGTCATCTTGTTGAAGTTAGTAATAGTTATGTAAGTAAAATGACAGCATATAGTGGTAATTATGAGAATTTCATTATTTTGTTTTGGAATTGAAATTTCTCCTCATCCGTACAGAATCTGCAGGTGAACTGGATATCGTAGTGACTTCAAATAAAGATGTAAAAGTTGCTGCTGTGCGAGATGCCTTCCAGGAGGTCTTTGGCTTAGCTGTGGTGGTGGGGGAAGCCGGACAATCCAATATTGCCCCACAACCAGTGGGCTACGCAGCTGGGTTAAAAGTGAGTAACAGACCATCCTTTTAAGGATGCAGAAACTGCCAGATAATGTTTTCATATTCTGATGATTTGTGATAATATGGTTTATAGCGCATTAACAGATTTTTGCATCCTGAAATGTTGATCACCTTGGTTTTTAACTAGATTACTATGTAATGTTAAGATAATAATGGGGTTTTTCATTTAAAGATACCTATAAATATTTTGATTTGTGAGGGGGATAAGAGGAAACACGGAGAGTACAAAAAGAAAGCACTTAGTCATGAAAGAGGGCTTAAGCCAGAGTTGATACTTGAGTCTAACGCTAAAATTAGATTATCTCTTGAATCTCATAAGGTTTTCTTGAATCTCATAAGGTTTTCACCACTATCCCTATAATACTTTACTACATTTAGTGTATTTCTTCAGGGCTCCTGGGACTTGCATACATGTAGTTACTTCCAAAGTAGTTATAGGTTTCTGGTAAGTTGATTTTCCTTCTTTCTTATACTTAGTTGAGTACTTGTGGCCATCCAGAAAGCTTTCCTTAGCTTGCTGTCTTTGATAGGCACAATGAGTGGGCGTAACTAGAGCATATGAAGGTCTCACCAGATCATACAGATCATACATTAGATCTTATTATTCACAATCAGCTCACTTACTAAAAAAAAAAAAAATACTGCCTTAGGGATACCATAGTAAGATAAGATGATCATATGATTGAATACTGTAGATAATCCCTACACAAAAGGGATGGATGATAGAGTAACTAATACTGAAGAAATATTTCACACACTTGTACACTTAGACCGCTTCGTCTTCTGGCCTGTTACTGTTAAAGAGCTTGCCATACAAAAAAGCCAATCCCAATTCCAGTGTACTAGATCTGACCCCTGTAGCCAGCTCTGTAAAGTTCCAAGAATTCTGCCCTCTCATACACTTTTTACCTTCAACTTCAAAATGTTGTATTGTACTCAGTGAAAACCTCTGCTTCTTCCAGTGGCTTCCATGGTCCCACGTGACCTGCGTAACCTCGCATCTGTTTCTTCGCCTGCTTCATGGCCACTAGACTTTCCCCCACTTACTCCGGGCCATCCACGCTGGCCTTCTTGTGTTTCTCCAGTTTCCTCTGCCATACTGCTCTGTTTCAGGGGCCTTTTCACTGGCTCTTGCCTTTTTCTGGTGCATTCTTCCCTCACATACCTACTTGATTGACTCCCTGAAGGGATCAGTTTTTCACCCGTATCTGCACTCCACAGGAGGCCTGTCCTAACTGACCTGCGTCATGCTGCAGTCCACACCTCGCACTCCTCATCCTTCCTCCTTTTTTTCCTGTAGCGCTCAGCACCTTTGGTATACTGTGTGATTTACATTTACATTATTTTTCAATTTTCTTCATTTCCTCAGTATAGTCAAGTCCCACAAGAACAAAGGTCTTTGTTTTGTTTACAGCGAACCCTGAATAGTACTCTTAAGTCTTTTCAAGATGTTTGGGTATAAGAACCCAAACAACAGTTTCAGAAGGCTAGGGTAAATTTTTTAAATTGATAATCTCTTTCCTTAATTAACCTGTTGAATACTAAAAGTATTTTCATTGTAGGATCTGTGTTGAGTGTTCATGTAATATTATGTCTATTCTTATGAGAACAATATGTTATCTACTTAACAGAGCTCTAGATTTCTACCTGTTGCTATACCTTTTTTTTGTACCTTTATGGCCAAAGAATGATCTTCAAATTAAGTTAGAGACATCTAGTGATACATAGGGCTTTGATTGGTTTGAGTAGGCCCAGGTGGTTTTAGGGAAGTCAATTTCTGTGTCCTCAGCTTACATCTGTACCCTTTACTAAAATCAGTCTGCCTTGAATATATACCTTTTGTGGAGGCAGTGTGCCTTTTTCTTTCTCCATTTCATTGCTCCCTGTTCTCTCCCACTAGAAAATAAAGACATACCTCTTACCACTTACCTGAAAATATAAAATTATCCTAGTGTCATTTGAAGAGACAGTCCATAATATTATTTTAAAAATTGAAAAGATAAATAACCTAAAGACTATGTAAAAATCTTATGCAAATCTTATGGTTTCCAATTACTCATTCTCAACAGACTGAGAAAAGACCAGATAAAGTTAGCTGATACTTCATTAGTATGTTTCAATTATACGTCATCTTGTGATTCTAAGACTTTATTAACTCAGAAAAATATCAAAATTTATATTCCTGAAACAAAATTTCTTTCATTCTTTTCTGTTTATTTATATAGATAAGTTTTCCTTTTTTTTTTTTTTAAAGATTTATTTATTTGTGCACACAGAACTGGGGTACAGGCCAGAGGCTCAGGGGCGGTGAGAGGCTTCACCAGAGACAGAGCAGGGAACAGAACAGGCATCGAGGAAGTACACTGCTGAGGGGAGCAGTGGGCGGGTCAGGAGAGGTCTGCCACACCATGTGGTCACCTCTGGGGCAGGCGGGAATCGAACTCATGGGGAAGCGGCTTTAGATTCTCAGTGCTGTGCTTTAACCCGCTGCGCCACCAGGGAGGGCCCTATTTTCCTTTTTTTTAAATGAGACACAAATAAGAGCAGAATTTACACTATTGCCTTATTAATATTATAATTTCCTCATGGATTCCTCAAACATCATGTGTTCCTTCATGTTTAAGGAAGGGGGGGCACAAAAAACTTTTCCATTACATTAAAAGACTCCCCCCCCCACATTTAAAATGATAGTTTAAAGCAGTCAGCTATACATAAATAATAATTGCAATTATAATAGTCTTACATACATGTTTTCACACATTACTATGTTAGCAGATTTTTTTTAAAGTAAAAATTTTGATTTATGTCCTGTTTTTGTTTTTTGTTTTTTTCCCACAGACATGAAGGTAATTAGTGAAACATTTTTAAGCATATAAATTGATCATATTAAGGGTACCTTATTGGAGAAAGTAAACGTAAATTTGGTTTGGGAGAAAAGGGGGCATGATTTGAGAAGTTTTTGTCTAGGCATTTTAAAATAATTAATGGTGGGTATCAAAGAGCAACAGATTTTAGATTCTTTTGGCTGTGTTTATTTTTTTTTAAGCAAGTTTTTTTTTTTTTTCTTTTAGATTTATTTTTCTTTGTGCATGCAAGAACTGGGGTACAGGCCAGAGGTGCAGGGGATGGGAAGGGTTTGAGAGGATTCACCAGAGACAGAGGAGAGCAGCACAAGCAGATGTGCTAAAACACACCACTGAGGGAAGCAGCGGCCGAGCAGGAGAGTCTGCTGCACCCGTGGGTCAGCTCCCTGGCCGGGATGGAACTAGTGCTGCAGTGACTGCTGGTAGCTTCATAGTGCTGAGACTTAACCCCTTGTGCCACCAGCAAGGTCCACTTTTGGGAATGTTTAAAGAAAGTTTTGATAGTTTTATTTCAAAAGCTTACAAGTTAAGAATAGTCTTATACAGTGAGCCTATTTACAAATGATCTAATATGCAACTACAGAAAATTCTCATTATTTGTCATAGTTATATTCTGTAATTCATTGCAAACACTGAATTAAAGAAAACTGATCTTGAGTCCCTGGAGATAATGCAGGGTTAGGTCCTTGTGAGTCTCTAGTCACATCATTTTTGCTAACCGATCAGGACTTGGAGTTTTGCTTCTGTTTAAACATACCTTACTATATGTCTATTTTTCATTCATTAACATTGAACTCCCAGGGCTAACAGCATTGCAGTTTACACCTAAGTGAGATTTGCCTCGTACATTTTTCCATGAGGCACATCTAGCCTTCATGTGCCTAAGAAGACAACAAAGAACTTCAGCACCGTGCTTGGCCATAGTTCACAGCAAAGTTTTCAACAAAAAGAGCACAGGAGGGTTACACAGCACTGAGCAGACTGCAGAGAGCATTGTTTACAGTGAGGGCTGCAGCAAGGCGGTGGCATTGGGCGCATGTGCATCAGGCACGCCCAGTTGGGGCTGTGCGTGTTTGTTTGTGGTTTCAAATAAATACTAGCAGATAGGCAGGGTCCCAGGTACGGAGTTTGTATATAATGAGGATGGACTGATTTTAGATTTACGGAGAAATTCATTCTATTAGCATTTTTTTTTAAGATTTATTTATTCATACAGAACTGGGGTACAGGCCAGAGATGTGGAGGGTGATAGGATTCACCAGGGACAGAGTGGGGAACAGAACAGGCAGCTCCACGAAGTACACTGCTGAGGGGAGCAGCGGGCGGGTCAGGAGAGGTCTGCCTCGCCATGTGGTCACCTCCGGGGCAGGCGGGAATCAAACTCATGCGGAAGTGACTTGAGCTTCTTAATGCTGTGCTTTAACCCGCTGTGCCACCAGGGAGGGCCGTGTTAGCATTTTTTTTCTCTCTCTCACAGTATTGCTAATTAAAAAAAATTCTTACATCATTGTAGGCCTCATAGTTCTCCCACTCCCTTATCACCTGTGAACTATCACCATATTCCCTTGTGTTCTGGTTAGAGCGAAGTGGAATCTCATCGTGGTCTTGGTCTGCATATCCCTAATAACTGGTGGTGTTGAATACTTTCTCATAAGCTTGTTGGCCACTTGCCGTTTTTCTTTAGAAAAGTGTCATTTTAGTTCTTTTGGCCATATTTTTGACTGGGTGGTCTGCCTTGATGTTCTGATATTTTAGTAACTTACATTTATTGAGAATCCATGAGCCTTGCACTTTATATAAAAACATACTTCTACTTATGCACATAATATATATAAACTGTTCAAATGAGGCAGTTGGCATAGCACATTAGGAAAAATGTTCTCTTAATTATAATTAGTCACTAAACGAAAACTCACATGATACTAGATTATCTTTAATTCTATCAGGTAGTGCTGTACAAATTTGAGGTGACTTTTTAACTATATATGGTGTTTTATTTATAAGGAATGTAAAGGTTTTCTTTTAATATATACATTCCCCAAAACCAGCTTTTCTAAACTTGGTGACAGTATGCTATCTCTAAACACAATGTGTTACGTATTTAACATGATTCAGATTACGTCCTGCCTTCACTGCATCGTCATCAATCTTCACATACAGAGTGATGCTACCAAAATCATGCCCTTTGAAATGTTTTTTCATACTGGGTATGAATTTGGTCATTCGCTCTCTTGGTAGGTTTTTCTGGCATCTGAATCTCAGTACACAGTGTAATGAAAGCTTTTTATGGCATAAGGGTTTGGTTTTTTTCTTGAAACACAGCAACGCTAACTGATGGCTGTAGAGATTGAAGTCTGTCCAATCTAGAAATTAAAGAAATGCATTAAATGGATAAAATAAATGCATACCTGAGTAGTTCTACTTAAAACCAAGTATACATAAGGTAAAGTGAACATTTTTGTGGGTGGTTGGTTTTTCCTGAAAGACTAAAACAAGTCCATTCCCAGATTGTACTTCAGTTTCAAGATTTCAAGGATTTTAAATCTGGGAAGGGAGACTTTTTAAGATTTTGTTTTAGAGGATAACCTGGAGAAAAAGCCTGAGACAGAATGGATTGTTGTACTAAGAATGGGAGTACTTTTTCAGGAAGTTATACTAAATTCTAGGGCATTTTGTAAAATGTGAAACATACATGTGCTATCAGGTTGGTACTTCTGTTTTTAAAAAGGTGGCAAGGAGATTTATTAATTTACCCTCTAATAAAGAATATTTAGATCTTAGGAGTTAGAACTCAGAAATTGTTATATTAAGCAATTGGAATTTACAGATAAATGTGTCAAAGTGAGAATCTGGTCAGAGGTGGTGAGCATTGCGGCAGCCAAGGTAAGTAGTCTGATGCCGAGTGTCAGCTGTGGAGAAAGGTGACCATGGCCTGCTCTGCAGACTTGTCATTAGGCTCATAACAAGAGGGAGAACATATGTAGCACATTTAAGAAGATGGTACTTAAATCAACTGAAAAAAGAGGGAAAAACTTATGAAATTCCGTGAGTATAAATAAAATGAATTTAGGTAACTAAATGACGAGGTAGACAACCTTTCTTCTGGCTTTTAAAAGATTGATTTTGAGTAGCTTATTCCTTTAAATACCATTTCACAGAAGATTTTTAGAATCAGTAGGTTAATAGAAATTTGACATTAAAAATCATTGGAAATGACAGAGGTAAGTGATTTGCAAATTTATCAGCTTTTTTTTATAGAAACAGCAGAGGGAGCTCATGAGACAGAAATATTGTAGAGTCCCAGGCAAACATTAAACATTAAAAATTGATCTGGTAGTTCAAAAGATTCTGAAACTTCTCTGTGTTAATTGAAAACCAAGTCATAACTAGGACCATTGTTTTATAGCTTATGTTCAGCTAATAAAGATGTGGTTAAAAATCTAACATTCGGGCTCTCCCTGGTGGGAGAGCAATGGGTTAAAGCACCTCATGATGAAGCTCTCAGAAACACTGCAGCACAAGTTAGATTCCCCTACCAGCTTGCTGAACCAGCCGGGGAGGTGACCACATGGCGCGGCAGCCCTCTCCTGACCTGCCTACTGCTCCCAACAATGTACTTAGTCTGCCTGTTCTGCTCCCCACTCTGTCTCTGGTGAATCCTCTCACCCACCACACCTTTGGCCTGTACCCCTGTTCTGTAAGCATAAATAAGTCTTTTTTTAAAAAAAAAATCTTTCATGAAGAAGCCTAGGAGTTTGGTTGTCTAGGCCATGTTGCTCACTGTAAGCTCTTGAGTGTAGTATGTGTGCCAGGATTCTTTCTGTATCTTCAGCTGTGTTGTACAATAATAAAAAGTGAGCAAACTTAAACATAGTCTCTTTCTAGGAAGTATAAAATACAGAAATGTTTCATTGTGGTGCATAGGCTGAGATACTGTCTTTACATTTAGGGATTAATCTCTCAAAATCCTATTAATTACTTAACTAGTTTTTACTAAATTAACTAGGCTTCTTTATAGGAGTGAATTAGATTTATAGATTCATATTAAGAAATAAAGTTCATCTTAAACCTGTTACAATTTTTTTCAAATTAAACACCAGCCTCCTCATTCAATATTTCTAGATTTAGCACAGCCATATTTACTATTTAGATTCTTAACTTCAGTGACAAAAGCCTTCAGAGGCCCTTTATTTTTTTCCTTTATTCAATTTTTCATGTGGTTAGTTTTTACTGAATGCCTGTTAGGTTAGAAGTTGCTGAGTATTAGAAATAGAAAAGTAAGCACTAATCTTTATTTTCTTGTCATCTAAATTATACCTTTTTTCATTGTTACCTTTATAATCTATTTCTTAAATGTGTTTACCCATTTTGATAGTCATTTTTTAAGTTGCTTCTGAAATAAATCCACTGTCTCTATTGTTCTGAAATAAATCCACTGTCTCTATGTATTCCAGCTTTGTTAATTTTCACTTACACTCTAACTTGTTTGAAATGACCATTGAATCTCACTTGGTGTTTTGTTCTGCTGCCTGTTACTTTACTAGTTTTATTCACAAATAGATTTTTATCTTGCATTTTGAACATATAACATTTGTGACTACTATTTATGAAGGAATTCAGGTAAAAGTAGTAAGTAGCACTTTGTTTTCAACTGTTTTGTTTTTCAGTAGGAGATAGAAATGTAACTCCTAAGTTGTCTGTATCATGTGCAAAACCACTTAGTTTCATAAATCGTGCCCATTTTTCTGAATAAGCTATTGTGTAATGTGTAGATCTGCAGGATTTTAAAAATAACCCCATCCTAGTGCATTATTTTAAGGCTAAATCAAAATGAAGTCAGAAAAAAAAACAAATTTGGAGAGAATCAACTGACTTTCTAGAACTGATCATTTTTATTCAGTAAGATGTCTCTTGCCAAAGTAACATAAAGTACATAGGGACCTTAACTAGCAATAACCAGTTAGGATATATAAAATAATGTAACAAAAATAATGATGCATATGGGAAAAAATTCAAAGTTCCGATCCAACTGTTATTACGGAGAACACAATTAGACTTCAGGATTTATTCTCTCTATACTTACTGTTTGACTGCTTACTGTTTGTGTATAAATATATTTGTGTATTCTCCTGTAATCGTAAATGAGTGTTTTTGTTTATGAATAGTTTGAAATGTTTTCTAATCAACACTGTGTTTTCCAGGGTGCACAGGAACGGATAGATAGTCTGCGTCGATCGGGAGTGATCCATGAAAAGCAGACTGCTGTGTCAATAGAAAACTTCATTGCAGAGTTGCTGCCTGACAAGTAAGAGGCTTGTTGTTTCTCTTAGGAGATGGAAAACCAGGGCTTAACACTGAATCCCAGTGGCAAGTGGGTCTTACTTTAGAACCAGAGAAAAAGTGTGTTCTGATCTAGCAGTGTCACTTAACTAGCTGCGGGACCTCACATTTTGTATTTTTGTTTATTATTATAAAATGAAGATAGTAAAAATACCATGTTCTAAGGTTGTTTTAGCATTAAGTCACCTACTGTAATAGCACGAAATGTGTCACCACAGTGGTATGACTGACGCCCACTTAGTGCCCAGAGTGCGGGGTGCTGTACGCAGGTCTGGGGGCAGGCAGGGATCAGTCGCCCTGAGCACTGTCAGCTGTTTCCTCAGATGGCTTCAGTCATCGTCATTTTTGAGTACGGTGTACTTTTTTTCTTGGGGAAGAAATTTTTTTTAAATATGCTGTTATTTATATTGAAAGAATTTGCCAACTGTTGAAACGAGTCTTTTCTAAGCACATTGTGACTTTTATTAATCAAAAATTTTATTACCAAATAGCATTGTGCCTACCACCTTGGCTGTAGTACACATAAATTATTAATCTAGTTGAGAGATGATACATACACAGATGAAGCTTTTAAATGATAGTATTTAAATGAGTATATCTAATTTTTCTTCTGATAGAGAACTGTTCCATACACTTTCAGTGAAAGTAAATGGAGTTAGCATTAGTGGCATTCATGAGGGGACTTACAGGATATTGAAGAGTAGGAAAGCTGGGTCAGTACAAAAGAACAGTAGGGCATCGTCGGTGGGACAACTGAGGGTGAATTTGGGGGTCAGTGTTTATATATTAGGGACAGATTATGAAGAGCATTGAATGCTGTATTCAGTTTGAATTTTCTATGTAAACATCTAGGAACCATGAACCATCCAGTGACCATTACTATTTTTTCTTTCTGTTAAGCTTTTACTGTTTAATGTCTATCTTACGGTGCCTTTGTTTTATTGTCGAGAAAAGTATGCCCTTGCTAACACTGGAGACTGAGTAGCATTCCTCCAGCCCCTCTTCCATGTTTTACTGTGTTAAGTATTTTTACTTCTGCTTATGTTAAACTCCTCAGACAAACTATTACTGTTTTTTGTTTGGTTTTTTGCAATATAGGATTACTGATTTTTACCATCTGAAGTCATTTCTACATGTTTTTTTCTGGGTTCATTTTCCTTCTGCCTGTGAAGTTGATTTTGTTACATTACAATAGAGGACTCTAGCTATCAATAATTCAGTTATTGGGGATTGGAGGGTACTATAGAAGTCTAGGCTGCCAGTTCTTTACTCTTAGCATTTTAAACATACGGTGTTAATCTTTTTTGCCTTCAAGCTTACTAAGTCTCTGAAGATAATGTATTTTTTCTAGCTTTTAGGATTTTTTTCCTGTCTTTTTTTTTTTTCCAGTTTTACTGTGGCCCACCCAGGGGTTATGTGGCTTGCTTTTTTATTCTCTGTGAGTTCCCTGAGATTGAATCTGCCTTTAGTCAGATGATGTGTCAAGTTTTGGAAAACACTTGGCCAGTGTGTCTCCTAATTCATCACACTGTTAATACAATTAAAAATGTAAGTTTTATTGAGGTAACATTGGTATATATGCACCATGTGACTAAAGTATAGAATGTCACTTCTGAGTAAGTTTACCATGCCCATGGCCAGCCACTGGGCCCGGCACTTTGTGCCATGCCCTTCCCCTCCTTGGCTTGGTGGCTTCAGTTTTGTTTTTTTTTTTTAAGATTTATTTATGCATACAGAACTGGGGTACAGGTGAGAGGTGCAGGGGCGGCGAGAGGATTCACCAGAGACAGAGTGGGGAGTAGAACAGGCAGATCGACGAAGTACACTGCTGAGGGGAGCAGCGGGCAGGTCAGGAGAGGTCTGCTGCGCCATGTGGGTCACCTCCGGGGCAGGGATCGAACTCACACCGAAGCAGCTGCAGCTAGTTTGTAGTGCTGCGTCCTAATCCACGCACCACCAGGGAGGGCCTCGGTGGCTTCAGTTTTAGTCAGATTTCTTGGGTTGGTTTTGTCTGTTCCTTTGTTCTCTGTATTCCACGCATGGGGGAAATCTTCTAGTATTTCTGTCTGACTTAGCAAACCTCTCCATTTCTATCCATGTTGCACAAGTTCATTTTTCCTTTTAATCTGAGTAGTAATTCTCAGTATGATTGTGTATATCCCTTTGAACTAGTGGTTTTGCTTTCTTCAAATAGATGTAGTATACCTCTAATACATACTTTGAAATAGACCTCGAACATTTTCTTCCTTGTTTACATGATGCAGTGTTGAATTTCCAATTTGAGGTTAAATGAAGTTCCTTTAAAAGAAAAGATTTGGTTATTTCATAAAGCTGTTCCCAAAGACTGATTCATTGTAAACAATTCGGAAAACTACTGAAAACAGTTTCATGCAAATGAACTTTTTTTTTTAATTTGCTGATAACTTGGTAAGCTAGCTACCTGTTAACGATAGAGGTGGTGATAACAAATTTTCTCATTTTAGTAGGTATATTTTAAAACGTTACTCAGGATAAATGTACTCACTTGGAAACAAAAATGGTTTATATGTTGCACATTTGAGTGCCTTTGTTCTTACTCCTTCTCTCCCTTAGAAATTCCTCTTGGAATTAAATACATATTGTTTGTGTGTGACTTGTTCTCTTGAAAATTGAGGAGGAAAACATTTCCTTTTTTGAAATCTGCTGATGTTTTAGCTGAATGGTAATTAATGTTTATTTTGTCTATTCAGTGCAGCTGTTTTTTAAGGCTTATAACCTGGAAATTACGTGTTCTGTTACAGATGGTTTGATATTGGTTGTCTGATAATTGAAGATCCTGTGCATGGTATTCATCTAGAAGCATTTACACAAGCTACACCAGTGCCTCTGGAATTTGTACAGCAGGTTGGTTTTTTCTTTATCTTTACACTCTAGAGAAACATCACGATTTTTCTTTTTATCTTGGTTTTTATAGTTGTACTTCTCCCTAGGAACAGAGAAATTGCTCTCTTCTGCTGACTGTATGTTCTCTTTGCCCCTTTTCAAATGGTTTATTTCCCATATTGCCACCTTTCATTTGACTTGATAATTTTCCATTTTTATTCTGTTCTAGTTTAGAATTGCCAGATGGTAAGTGTATGTCTTCGTGTTTGCTAGAATATAACCCATGTTCTTAAATGCCACTAAATGAAATGTAGATATGTACATCAGATTTTCTGTACTCCTCAAGGGCATTTTGTTGACTTGAAATCCTTCATTTCATACAGTTTTCATCACATTTTTATTTCCACACACTGTTAAAGCCTCTCTTCTGAGAAAATACACATGCACATGTGTTCCCAGAATTGCTAAAAGCAACCGTGGCCTTACGGGTTTCAGTTTAGATAATGACAAAGAATTGAAGCTCGGAATTTTGACATGGTTATTTATACTAATGTTTACCACAGTTTCAGAAGTTTAAGGAAATATTTTTATAGATTTTAACAGTAAGCGCAATCCAATATGACAGTTGATTAAAAGATGATGAGCAAATACCGTGCATACCATTATATGAATAAATCAGAAACATTCAAGTAGATGGTTTTCTCTTTAAACAACCAGTGTCAGTTGCCTGGTTTTCTATCAAGCCAGTGCTCTGAGGAGGAGCTCAAGCTGCCCCTCAGAGATGGTCATCACTGACTAAAGAATGCCCCTTGGTGTGAAGAAATGATGCTTCGGCCTTTCCATCTGCCGCTGGGCATGAGGAGCCCAGGCCAGGATCAGGCTGTGTGCTGTGTGCCTGGCAGGCCCCTGGGAGCTACCAGTGTCACTCGTTCACTGCTGTCATGACCTTCCGACCAGAGACCCAGTCGCGTAGGTATAGCCAGCCTCTGCCCCTCCATCTCTCTCTCTCTCTCGACTGTCTTGTCTCCTTTATCTCTCTGTCTCTTGTCAGTCTCACTTGTCTCTGTCATCTCAGTCTGCCACTTCCCACCAGTCTACCTTGCTTTGTCACCACTTGCATTTGTTTCTTGCTGTCCTCTCAACAGCTGTCATTTCTCATTGTTGTTACTAGGTCATCTTTCCAGTCGTCTGTCCTGTCTTCTGTCGTCTCGGTCTCCTCTGTTCTCTCAGTCTTACTCTCTGCAATCCCTGCTGTATCTCTCCTCCCATCTCTCTAGTCTGTTTGCCCTGGTCTCTTCATTTCCACCCCTATCAGCTCTGTCAGGGTCATGGTTGTTGCATCCTGTTAACACCAACTTTTTCGAGTTCTGACTTTGATCGCTTTGTATTTGCATCTCTGTCATCTTTCTATCTCTCTTTCTGGTTGCTCCTATCTCTTTCTTGTCTCTGTCTGGTCTGGGTCTCTCCTGTCTCTGTCTTATCTCTTGAGGTTATCTCTCTCCTGTCTCCTCTTTCTCTCCCTCTCCCCTATCTCTCTCCTATCTCACTATCTCTGTCTTCTCTCCTGTCTCCTCTCGTCTCTTGCTCTCCCCTTTCTCCCTCCCCTATCTCTCTCTCCATCCTCTCTCATCACTTCTCTTATCTCTCCTATCTCTTTCTTTCCTGCCACTAGTCTCCCTCCCCATCTCTTTCCTTTCTTTCCAGTCTCCATGTCTCGTGTCTCCTAACTCATCTCTCTCCTATCTGAGTCCTCTCTCCTCTATATCTGTCTTGTCTCTCTCTCTCTCCTATCATTGTCTCCTCTCTAACTCCCTCCTGTCTGTCTCCTCTCTCACCTATGTTTCTATCTCTTGCTCCTATCTCTCTCTCATCTCTTCATCCTTGTCTCATCTCTCTCCTATCTCATTCTCTCATCTCTTAAGGTCATCTCTCCCCTATCTGTCTCTCTCTCCTATATCTTTGTCTCTAGTTCTCTTCCTATCTCTCGTCTTCTCTGGCATCTCTCACTCTTCTTGTCTCTGTCTGGTCTCTCATCCTCTGTTTCATCTCAAGCTATCCCTTATCTCTGTCTCATGTCGATCTCTACTATCTCTCTGTTCTCTATCTCTGCTTCATCTCTCTCACTCTCAACTCTTGACTTGCCTCTCTCTAGCTCTCCCCTGTCTTGTCTGTTTCTTGTCTCCCTGTCTATCTGTCTCCTCTCTCCTTTATCTCTGTCTCTTCTCCTATTACTTGTCTCGTGTCTCTCTCACTCTCCCCTCTCTCATCTCTCTGTCCCATTTTTCCCGCTCTCTGTATCTCTTCTCGTCTCTGAAATCCCTCGCTCTCTCTTTTATCCTATCTCGCTATTTCTCCCCTATCTCTTGGTCTCATCTCTAGCTCTCCCCATTTCTGTCTGGTCTCTCTGTTCTCTCTTTCCATCTATCTCTCCTGTTTCTCTCCTCTCTACCATCTCTCGTCTCTCTTCTCTCGTCACTGTCTTGTCTCCCTCTTGTATGTCTCTCTCATCTCTCCTGTCTTTTCTGTTCACTAGTCTCTTTTCTCCACTCTCTCCACTCTCTCGTGCCTCTCTCCTCTCACGCTATTATCTCTCTCTCGCTACTATGTCTCTCTTGTCTCTAATCCCCCATTCTTCTGTCTCCCATCTCTACTCCCTCTCTCATCCCTGCTTTCTCTCTCCTGTCTCTCGTCTCTCTCCCGTTTCTCATCTCTCTTCTGTCTCTCGTCTCTGCTATCTCTCTCTCCCGTTTCTGGGCTCTACTCTCTCGCCTCTATTCTCTCATCTCTCTCCTGTCTCATCTCTACACTTTCACTCTCTCTCCCGTTTCTCATCTCTATTCTTCCTCTCTCCTGTCTCTCTTCTCCGCACTCTATCCTGTCTCTCCTCTCTCTCTGCTCCTTCTCTCCTGTATCTGCTTTCTCTCCCCGCAGTCTCTCATCTCTGCTCTCTCTCCCCTTTCACTCGTCTCAGCTCTCTTCTGTATCTCCACTCTCCGTGCCCTATCTCTCCTCTCCTGTCTCGGATCTTTGTTTCCGGTCTCTCTTCTCGGTGCTCTCTCTGGTCTCTGCTCCCTGTCTCTCGTCTCATCTCTCTCGGTCCTGTCTCTCCTCACTGCTGGCTCTGCTCTCTCTCTCTCTCCCGTCTCTGCTCCCTCCAGTCTCTTGTCACTGTGGGCACTCTCTCCTCTCTGCTATCTTGTCTCATCTCGGCTCTCTCTCTCCTGTCTCTCGTCTCTATTCTCGTCTCTCTTCAGTCTCTCTCTCCTGTCCTGTCTCTCTCCTCTTTCTCCGTCTCTCTCTCTCCTGTCTCTCTCCGTCTCTCATCTCTCTCCTGCCTCTCATCTCTGTCTCTCCCTCTTTCCTCACTCCTCTCTCTCTCCTGTCTCTCCTTTCTCCTGTCTCTCTCCTGTCTCCCACTCGTGTCTCTCTCCTGTCTCCCTCTCCTCTCCTGTCTGTCTCTCTTCTCTCTCCTGTCTCTGTTCTGTCTCACTCCTGTCTCTGTCTCCTCTCTCAGCCTCTCGTCTGTCTCTGTCTCTCTCCTCTCTCTCCCCTCTATCTGTCTCTCTCCTCTCTCTCCCCTCTATCTGTCTCTCTTCTCACACCTCTCTCTTCCCTCCTGTCTCTGTCTCTTGACTCTCCTGTCTCTCTCCTCTCTGTCTTGCTCCTGTCTCTGTCTCTCCATCTCTCCTTTGTCACACCATCTCTCTCCTCCTGTCTCCATCTCTCTCTCTCTGTCTCTCTCTTCTCTCTTCTCTCCTGTCTCTGTCTCTCTTCTCTCCTGTCTCTGTCTCTCTTCTCTCCTGTCTCTGTCTCTCTCGTGTCTCTGTCTCTCTCCTGTCTCTGTCTCTCTCCTCTCCTGTCTCGCTCCCCTCTCTCGTCTGTCTCTCTCCTCCTGTCTCTCTCCTCACTCCTGTCTCTATCTCTCTCCATCTCTCATCTGTCTCTCTCTCTCCTCTCTCCTCTCCTGTCTCTCTCTCCTCTCCTGTCTCTCTCTTCTCTCCTGTCTCTGTCTCTCTCCTCTCCTGTCTCGCTCCCCTCTCTCGTCTGTCTCTCTCTCCTGTCTCTCCTCTCCTGTCTCTCCTCTCCTGTCTCTCTCTCCTGTCTCTCTCTCCTGTCTCTCTCTCCTGTCTCTCTCTCCTGTCTCTCTCTCCTGTCTCTCTCTCCTGTCCCTGTCTCTCTCCTGTCTCTCTCGTGTCTCCATCTTTCTCCTCTCCTGTCTCGCTCCCCTCTCTCGCCTGTCTCTCTCCTCCTGTCTCTGTCTCTCTCCTCACTCCACCCTCTCTCCTGTCTGTCTCTCTCCGTCTCTCCTGTCTCTCTCCTCTCTTCTCTCCTGTCTCTCATCTCTCTCCTGTCTCTATCTCCTCTCATGTCTCTCACGTCTCTGTCTCTCTTCTCTCCTGTCTGTCTCTCTCTTCTCTCCTGTCTCTGTCTCTCTTCTCTCGTGTCTCCATCTCTCTCCTCTCCTGTCTCGCTCCCCTCTCTCGTCTGTCTCTCTCCTCACTCCTGTCTCTCCTCTCCTGTCTCTATCTCTCTCCATCTCTCATCTGTCTCTCTCTCTCCTCTCCTGTCTCTGTCTCACTCCTGTCTCTCCGTCTCTTCTTCTCTCCTGTCTCTGTCTCTCCTCAGTCCTCTCTCTTCTCTCCTGTCTGTCTTTCTCTCCTCTCTCGTGTCTCCATCTCTCTCCTCTCCTGTCTTGCTCCCCTCTCTCGTCTGTCTCTCTCCTCCTGTCTCTGTCTCTCTCCTCACTCCTCCCTTTCTCTCTCTCCTGTCTCTCTCTTCTCTCCTGTCTCTGTCTCTCTCACTCCTCTCTCTCCCCTCTCCTTCTCTGTCTCTCCAGTCTGTCTCTTGACTCTCCTGTCTCTCTCCTCTCTGTCTTGCTCCTGTCTCTGTCTCTCCGTCTCTCGTCTGTCACTCCATCTCTCTCCTCCTGTCTCCGTCTCTCTCTCTCCTGAATCTCAACTCTCTCCTGTGTCTCTCTTCTCTCCTGTCTCGCTCCCCTCTCTC